AAACAATGGTTGCTATGGGTGTTGCTATGTTGAAATATAGCTAGAAGTGTTCAGATTTCTTAATTTAAACGTAAATTCAGGAGTAATTAGAGGAAAATCATTTCAGAATACGATTTACAAATGGACAGGAGTGTTGAATCTTCATGTTCCAAAAAAATGTTTTTTTGGTGAAAATTTTATTTCTGAGAGTATAAGACCCCCTTAATATAAAGTGGACTGTTGGAATGCGCAACGACCTTACTACGTTTGTTGTAGACAGCCTTTAGCTCTCTTTTGTCTATTTCACTGACAGCTAATAAGGTAAGTAAAGCTGCTTCAATAAGCAACAATACGTTTGCGCTATTTTACCCTGTCCCAGGAAAGAACCAAATTACCCGCTGGACTATATTGATCATGCTCAGATCACCACGGGAACGGTTAGTTTTAACACTTAGTGAAACGACAACTTTGATGGTAGCCTGCGAACAGGCTCCGGTGAGCCCGAACGAAGCGATCGCTTTGCCCTCCGAATTCTTCTGTTTCGCGTTCGCCGAAATTTTTTCCGTCCTCGCCGGGAGCCTGTTCGCAGGCTACTTTGATGGTAGATTTTGCCACACGCTATGCCTGGAAGGGCCAATATCACGTCATCCTTCGGTAGTTTTTAAACATACGTATTAAAATGCGCATATTTGATGAGTCTGTCTTAATTGATCGACATGGCGTCTAGATCTTGGAATTCTTTCGTTGCTCCGTCCGTACCGGGACGCTGTACTTGTTAACTTGTGTACGACTTCTCGAAGACAAAGATTGCAACATGTATCACTGACCTATCACTTATTGAAGGTAAGACAAATGGATCTTTTACGGTGATACAGTATTTTCTACATTAATTTGTTTACCTCAGTCTCCCTTGAAGTTACATCAGATATGGATAGATGTTTCATCTCTAGTTTTCTCTAGCTCTCTGAACGGGTAAATATTTTTATGTGTAGCATGCTGCTGAGGTCTGTTCTTGATCTGCTCGACAGTTAAGATGTGAAACTTAAATTGAATAGGTTTCATCTGGAAAATACTGAGTATCAGTTGACTCCTTAGCCCGGCGGAACGAGATCATTTTCAAGAGCGAGACGACATTTCGTTTTTAGCTCGCTCTTGTGGTTGAAAGATGAACCTTCAAGTTCCAACGACAGCTGTAATCGTCGATTGCTAAAACGAAGATGCCGGACTTCAGATCAATGGAATGAACTGAGTAAAATTTTACCGCAGATTGTGTGAGCGAAACGAATTAAGTCTTGCGACCTTTTATTTGTATTAAATTCAACAACTTTCGAAATATTTCTCTTTCCAGTCTGGTAAAGAGTTAAAACAGCTTAGCTGCGAGTTTACGCGTGGAGCATATGATAAAAGCAAAAGTTACAGTCTGAGTTTCCGAGGTCTGAGTTTTCGAGACACGCCGTGACGCTTGAAGTGTAAGCAAAAGACAAAGTTAGCGTGATTAGTGAATCTCAAATTAATGTTTCTTTTTATAAACAGTGACGTCATTCTAAATGGCGTGCACCAAAATCACCCTTGCGTGGCCTGTCTTGTGGTTGGCAAAAGAGCTTGGGAGCGGGTGAAATGCTTTTCTTACGATCAAATCTTCAAGTCGTTTGAAATTTTCAAGTTTTACACCTAAATAGTGAAGCATATTACTCAATAAACATATATTGTATTGTATTGTAGCAGACTAGCAGTAATCAAAGATTATGACAGAGTGTTCGACGCCTACAGCTTTCATTGTTATTATTATTACTATTACTATTATTATTATTACTATTATTATTATTATTATTATTATCATTATTCGCAATAACGCAAGGGAAACAATACTTACAATACAATTACAAACAGTACACTCTTTAGACTACTTACAGCACTATACTCAGCTTACATTATATTGCGCCAACTATTTACATCATAATTTAAATTACAATGCCTACACGACTTACAGTACACTACTAACAAATACAATAGCGACAAGGGGTAAAGAAAAAAGATGAAAAATAGATAATCATCATTACAGCTTTAGGTTGTACTATACAAGCATCAAAAACAGACCAAAGGCATGTGGTACATTATAGATAAAATGAACTATGCACCTGACAGGGGATTAGAAATAGACAAATGGGTCAAATGGGTAAAAGATAAATACAGATAGGTATAGAAAATACAATCTAAAATATTAATTAAATCCTCACATATCCTACAAGAGGTTTCCATTTCTTTGTGCCTGCACTTTTTATTGCTATTTTGTATTGTGATTTTACTGTGCATATGAAATGCGTAAGGTTTGGATGATCTTCTTTTGTTTTAGCAAGCCATATGTGATATCGTGATTTCATTAGCTGACTTTCAACGGCTATTACTGAAATCAACATATTTATATGAACAACATCAGTTTTACGGCCAGATATAACACAATGACAGAGTCCAGTATTTATCTGTGGATTTGATTTTCTTGTTCTATGGTTAGCAAGTGGAGGTCTATTCTATAAATATACGAAAATTGCATTTTGTTGACGCATTGCGTGATAACCTGTGATCATACACTCCCTCCCTCCCTGCATCTTAGTTGCGTGACGGCGCAGGTTTCCGTAGACTCACAAGTTTAATAGAACTAAAATATTTACATTTGCCTTCAAACTTCACGCTAAACATCTCTTTTTCACTTTAACTGGTAATGTTTAAGCATACGAGGTAACTTGTGAAAATATATTTTCTTTGCATACAGTATTCACGAATATTCGCGAACATATGCACTCCCGTGCTCGTTTATTGTAAGGGGAAAAAACTCCGTGCGACTGGCTCTCCACACGCAACCACAAACGTGTCCGCCATTGCTCTAGCTGAGACGACATTTCATTGGCCGAATACCGTCACGTGTCAGACATCATCCCATACACCAAACTTGGCATCTAATCAATTTTATTATAAAATGACTTTTTTACTTTAATATATTGCGAAAAAGAACGGTTTCTAATTGTGTCGAAAACTCAAAAGTATAGTTAAGTAGTCAGAGACAATCCATAACTGAACCAATCAAAACTCCTAGCAATTACATGAAGCTGACGCTAAGCGGGAGGAACGTGTGTGAACGAGTCACGGTTGGTTTTGGTTTTACTTCTGATTGGATGAGAAAGTGTTTTTTTCAGCCAATCACTTAACGTAGTAATGCAAAACCAAAACAAATGCGGATAACTTTCGACACTCAAGCGAGAGTCTTGTTCTTGCCACTCGAACATAAAATTCTTATCTTCTCGCCAACGTGCAATATCCTATATTTATTATATGGCAGGGTAGTCTTGAGGTAAATTCGAGCCTTCTGATTGGTTCTTTCTTGGTCGGGATTTCGCCAGACGGACCGTTTCCACGGAAACGGTCATAAGCTGTGTATTTTTTGTTTTCAAAAGGCGGCACAATCAAAATTTGCAACTAAAACTACGAAAAGAAAACTTGTAAATACTCTTATCCTTCGCAAAGAAACTACCTAAAAGACCGATATTTTACAGAGCTTACAACATGGACGAGGAAGACGAATATTTATCAAGCAAATTTTATTATCCTGAAGACGGCTACTGATATGAACACTCTTCTCCGCTACGTGGAAGCTAACGGTATGACAAATGAAAGAATTGAAAGCCTACCTGCGTTGGAGCTTGATCGCCTTTTGTCCAATTTTTTTTTTGAACACACGCAGTAAAAATGGAGAAAAGTACGAACTACCAACAATTTCCAGTTTCCAGCGCTTTATACAGCGATACTTAACTGAGAAAGAATATCCATTCAACATTCTCAAGGACAATGAGTTGGAAAAATCGAAAAGCGTAGTAGCTGCGGAGCGCAAGTCACCGGTTCACGAGCACGGCAACGGAACTGAACATGCCACAAGCCGCTTAGGCGACTGACGAAAACGAAGAAGATGCTCTTTTTGAAGCGGGTGAATTCGGCGTGTTTGCACATTTCTGTTAGTTATAAAATTGTCTTGAAGTCTTGTTTATATTCAACATGATTTACGTTCAATGAATTTGTTTTCAAACTCGTGGTAGCTTGTTCTTTCTGAGTTGCTCGCGTCATCAACGACACGTTACGGCGGAAGCGCCTTGAATTCATGTGATCGGAGGTGCGTTCTAACAGAAAACAAACAAACATGGCGCAAAGGCCGTATAATAAACTACTTACTAACCCAGCTAGCTCGAGCCGTACTGAAGAATATTGGCCCTCGGTCGTTTTTGTACGGACCTCGCTGCGCTCGGTCCATACTGCCATGACCTCGGGCCAATAATCCCCGGTGCGGCTGTCGCGCTCAGTTAGTAAGAGGTTAATTTCGTGATTTTTAGCCTTTTTAGAAGTTAAAGTATCAGGAAAAGTGCTTATTTAAATGTTTGCTTGACACTTTAGATAAGCAGTCGCTTAGATAGCCAAAGTAAGTTGCAGATGTTCACACTACTTTCCGGCCGCCATGTTGGTGTACCGCGGAGGCACACCAACATGGCGGCTCCATACTGGGCTCTGTAAATTTGTGCAAATATTTCGACGAATGATCACGAATATTTGAAGTTTGGGAAAACGTACAGACCTAATGCCTTCTTTATCTCCTATAACATCATAATTTCTTGACTTTATACACTGAATGGTTTTCGAATTATTTTTTATTGCATGACAGTGCTACCCAAGAATGTGATATCGATAAACATGAATTTTGTTCTGATTAACACATAGATTCCATGTGTCCGTGCGTCTGCTTAGTAATAGATCACCGATGACGTCAAAATGTTGTGTAAGAACATCAGTGGCACACACGGCTATCGCCTCGTTTACCACTTTTTTGTTCTTACCACATTTTGACGTCTTCTGTGATCTTTTTCAGAACAGACGCACGGCAACATGGAATCTATTTGTTAGTCTCGCTCAAATACCGACTGAGACTGTTCGAGTATTTTTTCTGAGTCATTTTCTAAAAAGAAACGGCTTTTTCTTTCTTCTTCCTGCTTCTCGTACCTGTTTAATTCCTCGACAAGAATTTTTTTGGAACTTATCTTTCGCTCAGTCACGTAAAATATTATCTAAATTCTCAAAACTTTCCGCTATTTTAAAACAGAGGGAAAAACGTAATGATGACGTCAAACGTGCGTCTGTCCTCTAATAGATTATAGGCGAGAACCGATCAAAATGCGAGAATAGTTTGGGCTATTATACGATAGGAAATAGACCGTTTCAAGAGATTGACCGTTTTCCATATATTAAAGTGAGGCGTAGAGGACACAAACAGAGGAAATTGAATGACCATGTTTATTAAATTTCTTTTGTTTGTGTCCTCTAGGCCTCATCATCAAGCTGAATTTTAATGTATCGAAAGTGGCCTATTGGAGTGCATATTACGTTTGTTGTAGACAGCCTTTAGCTCTCTTTTGTCTATTTTACTGACAGCTGACAAGTTAAACAAAACTGCTCCAATAAGCAATAATACGTTTATGCTATTTTATCCTTTGCCAGGAAAGAACCAATTTACTCTAGAATATATCGATCATGCTCAGATCACCAGGGGAAAGCTAGTTTGAACAATTAGTGAAACGACAAATTTGATGGTAGATTTTGCACGTCGCTGGCGCCATGCCTGGGTGTGCCAATGTCACGCCATGCTTCGGTAGTTTGATTAGTCTGTTTTAATTGATCGACATGGCGTCCAGATGAAGATATGATTTATCATCGCAGTTACGCTCACTCGCTTGTAGGCTCACTTGCATGACGTCTAGATCTTAGTAACTGTTTCGTAGCTCAATCCGGACCGGAACGTTGTGCTTGCT